ATCACGTTTAAGGTCAGAATGCCAAAAATGAGTCCTGAGAGCAGGGCAAGTGCTGATCCCCAAGGGCTGTCTGAACCACGGTAAGGAGTTTGAGGTTCATTCTAGGTCATCTAAAGGACACTGAAGGGAGTGAGGACAATCAGGATCAGAGCTGTCCAATAAAACTTTCTGCAGTGATGGAAACTGGTCTCTGGCAAACATGGCAGCAGCTAGCCATGGAAACTCTTTATCGCACACTTGAATTGTGCCTAGTGTAACTGAGGAACTGAGTTTTAAATGTTATTTTATTGAAATGTAAATAGCTCCATGTGACTAGTAGCTAGCATAATAGACAGTGCAAATCAGTATAGTCTGCTCAGCATATCCAGAATATGATCAAATTCCTCCTGCACATCCATGTAGGCCTTTCTGCAACTCTTAAGCCTTCCCCTAACACTGAAGCGTCATGTATTGATTGAATCTCTTGGTTAATTGGGTAACTGTGTTTTCCCATTTCTCCTCAGTGAGTCTTTGCATGCTCTGAGTGGGGACCACTCCTGGGCTTTTATTTTTGCGCCAGGGCAGGCCACGTGCCTGAGATCATTGAATAACTTTTGTTAGACTGATTGATTCCTGTTTTCCTTCTTGGGCTGATGAGTGGAAAGTGCAAGGATGCAGACACCAGTGTTCCAGATGGGCTGCGCGTGGTATGTGTGCCCCAGCCCTCCGAGAGTGCACAGGGACATCTGTCCACGAGAAGCCAAGCCGCGTGGCCTCTGGAGCCCTTCCAGAGTCTCATTTGCCCAGCCCGTGGACGTTTCCATGCTGTGAATGGGGTGAGGTGGAGGGAGTTCTTGGCTTTTCTGCAGAAAGGCAGGGTGTCACCCCATGGCACCTGTCACCACCCTGAACACTTAGACTGCTCCTTTGAGTGCTTCACAGTGACAGGGAGCTTGCTTTCCATTCCTGTATTTTCTCTGGATGGTCAAATTACTTTCCACCAAGGATTCTAGTTTTAAAATGATTTTAAAAAGGCCTATTTCCGTGCTTATGTTTTAGGCTCAGCTTGAGTCATAAAAGGAAATGCCCTCATAGTAATTGCTCGGAATGGATTTGAGGGTAATAGATGATCTGCCTCTCCTTCAGCTCCCCTCAGCCACAGGAGTAAAGGTGTGTGAAGCTCTGTCCCTGAGGGAGAGCCTCTCCTCAGCGCCTTCTTTTGTGTGGCAGCAGACAGCCCATGACACAGTGCCTAGGGCTAGCTCTAACTGGAAGTGCAGATGGTGTTGCCCCATTTTCAGAGTACACAGAGACTGGAGATGTGGTAATTTTAGTGCTGGAACAGGGATCCTGCCCTGGCAGAGTCTTGGTTCCCACTTGGGGAACGTATTTTCGTAGAATAACAGACTTTCAAATGTAATTTAGTCCATGCTTGTATTTTTTGTGTCCCTTTCTGGTGGTTGTCACTTGCAGCTCTGTGGATTTCATTACCATATGAGGCTGCCCTCCTGACCCCAGGACCTTCTAACTATTGCAACACACGTCCCTAGGTTGAGCTAAAATCTGCCCTTTGTACTGTTCACTCCTGGGTTCCGACCTTCCCCCTGGGGACCCTATAAAGCAAGCCTAATCATCCCTCCTTCACGTGAACACCCACTGGTGTTTGATGATAGCTAAGAGTTCCTTCAACAGTTTCTTAGAGGATAAGGTCTCAAGCCCCGTGGTGACCTTGGCCAATAGGTGTTCGTTTCTCCCTAGAGAGTGGAGCACCCAGCGGTGGGCATACAGAGCAGCCGGAGTGCAGCCATTGCTGGAACGTCGTTCCAGATATTCCACTTCTTTGACACAGCCTAAGAGAACCCTGGGAGACTGCAGAGCTCCACTTTCAATGCTCCTTATCTGAGGCAACGTTCCAGAAGGTTGCTCTGAACCCTCAGGCAGTACCTAGCCATTGTGCCCAGACGAACAGGAAATACAGTCACGTGTTGCTTAATGACAGGGATACATTCTGAGAAAGGTGTCGCTGGGTGATTCTGTCTTTGTGCAAACATCACAGGTACATAGATGTAAATGATATCGCCTATTACACACTCAGGCTATGTGGGAGAGCCTACTGCTCCCAGGCTACAGAGCTGTATGACACGTTACTATACTGAATACTGTAGGCCCTGTAACACAATGGTTAGTATGTGTGCATCTAATAAGCATATGTAAGCATAGAAAAGGTACAATAAAAACATGATAATTATGATCTTATGGGAGCATCATCGTATATGCTGTCTGACGGTGGTGGAAACATTGTTTTATAATACATGACTGTATGGGGTTAGGCTTCCGTGAGCCTCTGCTCACAGCACTTGCATCAAACGATCAATCCATAAGCTTGTTTTACGTGTTGTTGTTTAGAGACACCTCCTTTAACATTCACTGTGGATTTTTTTTTTTTTTTGAGATGGAGTTTCGCGCTTGTTACCCAGGCTGGAGTGCAATGGCGCTATCTCGGCTCACCGCAACCTCCGCCTCCTGGGTTCAAGCAATTCTCCTGCCTCAGCCTCCCAAGTAGCTGGGATTACAGGCACGCGCCACCATGCCCAGCTAATTTTTGTATTTTTAGTAGAGACGGGGTTTCACCATGTTGACCAGGATGGTCTCAATCTCTTGACCTCATGATCCACCCACCTCGGCCTCCCAAAGTGCTGGGATTATAAGCGTGAGCCACGGCGCCCGGCCCTCACTGTAGATTCATTAGCGTTGAGCTCACAGCCAACAGGCCTGTAACTCATACCTGAACCAAGCTTACTTAACACACATAATTTCTCTGTGAGGCACATTGTGGCTTTCTTGTGCTTAGGAACACAAGACAGCACTCAGTGTCATGTTTGGGGCTATTTTAACAGCACCATCACTGACAGAAAGTGTAAAAATTCCAACATCATGGCACTAAATAGACCACAAAAGGGACGCTTGTGTACAGTGTGAGAGCTGAAACAAGGAGAAACTGTGTTCCCTGTCTGAATTCAACTGGGAATGAGTGCATTGGGTGACTTTAATTTTTTGCCATCCTGCACATGTCTACAGATGAGCTGTGAGTGTCGGTCTTGGGGTTACAAATCAATTTTAGTGAGTAGGCTAATTCACAAGTACGGAATCTGCACTTAATGAGGATGGACTATACCAAGAGCCTAAGGAAGCAGGAAAAGAAGGAGGTTGGCTTCATGCAGAGAGGTGGAGAACAGTGCCACAGCAGAAATTTCCTGCATGCATGTGTTGCAGGGAGGTCCCGAGTAGTGGCCTGTGTCCATGTGTGTTTTCCTTTTGGTCCTGTGTCCTCAGATGGACTCTGAGCTCCAGCAGGACAAGTCTCTCATTTCTATCAGCCATGTCTGGCCCAGCGTTTCACCCAGAGTGGCACTTGCCACTCTTTGTTACTGGGGCTGCTGAGGAGATCAATGCTGATTGAGAGCAGAAGGAGCTGAGGGAGGGAATGAAATGAAACAGGGACGTGCATAGGTCCTAAGAGATACTTCAAGTGAAGACACAGAAATTTATATTAATTTGGAAAATCAATGAAGATGCAGTGGAAGGAAGTGAAGGAGGAGACTGAAGTGGCTACAGCCACAGAAAGATGGTTTTAGAGGAGGCCGATGGTGTGTTGGGATGGGGCTGGTGAGCAGCTTGTTTTCCATTTCCCAGGAAGGACTTTGCTTCTTGAGAGCACGAGGTCTCCCCTGCCATGTGCATGATCACTGCTCTTTGTGACAGCACCCCTGAGCCTAGGCAGGGCTATGATGTCCACTGTGCAGATGAACAAAGTGGGAGGGGCTTAAGCCACCTTCCCAAGGTAACAGGATCACTGACTGTGCCAGGGTTCCTACTGTTACTAATCTGACCACCTTAGGAGGGGCTTCTGCTGAATTCCATGATCACCCAGGAGAGGAGAGGAGACACCTTTTTTGTTTTTATTTTTTTAATGAGAGGATAGGAGAGTGAAAGACGTTGAGAGAACTTATGAAAGGAGAGGTGTTTTTGCTGCTTGGTCATGACAGCTTGATTCAGTTCAACAGACACTGGTTGGGCCTCTGTGTGCTCTTCCTGCCACAAAGGATGGCATCATGGGCTGGGCAGAGAAGGAGTCTGGGCATGGAGGTCAGCAACAGCTGCCTGTATGTAGGAGAGTGGGTTTAATCCACGAGTCAGGGAAGCACATCAAGGACTGGTAGTGAGGGCTCGGAGTGGTTGCTGAAAGCCCATATGCTTTTGTGTACGAGGCTTAAACCTGAACTCTGTTGCCTAGAGATGATGCTGTTCTGCTACACTGCCAGCTGGGTGCTTTTGCCCTGTGTCTCAGCATCCTAGAACCGCAGGTGCTGTGGAGGTCAGAGAGTTGGAGGTGCAGAGAACTAGAACATATGGCACTCTAGCAGGGGAAAGTCAAATGGACATGTAACTATATAGTGATAGTGTATCTCCAGTGTTGTGTGATCACAAAGGAGGGAGAAATTGCTTCCTGTTGGAAGGTTGCCAGGGGCTTCCTGAAGGAGGAGGTGATTGATGTGCTGATTGACAGCCAAACGGCCCCTGCCCTTGCCTTTCCATCTCTGTACTTTCCATCCAGTGACTTAAGCCAAAAATCTAGAAGACTAATCACTAATTCCCTCCTTTTCTTCCTCTTCCTCACATCCGATCTGTCACCACACTGCTTAGCTTCTGTCTCCAAAATAGAGCTCAACGCTCTGGATTTTACTCCTTATTCATTGCTACCACTGGAGCCCCGGGCACGTCACCTATGACTGAGACGACTGAAAGAGCCTCACCTAAGGGTGCTTTAAAATTCTACTCATCTTCCTCTTTTATCAGCAGTTTTTACAGCAGCCAGAGTAATCGTTCAAAAAATAATCCAAGATCCTGCCACTCCCCTGCTCAAAAACCTTTGTAGATTTCTGTATTAGTCAGGATCCAGCTGTGAAACAGCTTTAGGTATTTCAAGCAGGGAATATTAATACAAAGATTTGGTTGCATAGGTACAAGTAAAGGATGGAAGGCAACCCAGGGCAGGCAGCCCCTACCACCTTTACACTGGAGGCACCCAAGCCCTGGAACCTGGAACCCACTCAACCATGGTGAGTCCTGCCTGGGGGTAGCTGGGACTTCAGAGGGAGGGGCTGTCTGGGGGGATGCTGCAGTGGCAAAAGAGACACCGTCACGGCCCATCAAATGCCAGCTAGAGCTGAGAGGGAGATGGAAAATACTTTTCTTTCTTTCTTCTAGTCTCCCCCGGGGCCTCCCAGTGGCCAAACTTTGCCAGAGCCAGTTCTTAAGGGAGTCTGGGGAATGCTGAAGGATGGAAACAGATGTGACAGGAGTGTGGTGCATCAGTTTCAGGCACTGGCTGAGCTATTCATGCAGACTGGGTTTGTTTCGGCTCCTGGGTGGAATTGAAGGTGGTTGGATTTGTCTGTCAGGAAGTATCCTAGTACAGGAATCTAGTCTGCCACTCCGGATCTCTCTCTCTCTCTCTCTCTCTCTCTCTCTCTCTCTCTCTCTCTCTCTCTCTCTCTCTGTGTGTGTGTGTGTGTGTGTGTGTCTGTTTAGTGGAAGGACAGACCTCTCTTGGGCCAGGGATTGGGTGAATGAGGAAGAGCCTCTCTTGGCCTCCTGTTGAGCCTGGGAGGACAAGCACAGAATATCCTTAAGAGAGGTCTGTGGCAGATCAGCACAGAAAGTGTAAGGAACAGGCAGTTTGGTACCTCCAGAATATAATTCCAGTGTCTTTTAATCTGACACCAAAACCTTTAAGGATCTCATCCAGTCTTATCTTCCATGTTTCTCTAACTGGAATATTTTTCCTGACTCTTAACTCAAAACTTACTAATTTCACCCTCCATGCCTTTGCATGTAAGATTTCCTTCATTCAATTCCTATCCACTCTTCAAGAATGGTTCAAACCTCACCTCTTCTAGGAAGCCTTCCTGATTTCCTCTAGCCCTCACAGTTCTTGCTTTCCTTCTCAGAACTCCTAAAAGGGTTAAGTTTGCTTTTATTACTTGGTAAGATCGTAGTTTTACCAAAGAAGCATAGGTTATTTCTCTCCAGAAATATTTCCGGCTCTTCCAGGGCCGGGGCAGGGAGTCAGTAAATCTTTGTATTCACCAGAGATGTCATCAGCGTGTGCAGAAACACAGTGCATGCCTGACCAGCCTCTGTGGAATGGACATGTATCAGTCCTAAAGATCAAGTAGTCAGTGTTTAATAAAACAAAGCAGAAGAAGCCGAGCAGGTAGAAATGTGTGATCAGTAATCTAGGAGCCCCACAAAAGGGTGCTTTAAAAATAAGACAGAGCAATACAGTCACTGGAACCGAATTCGAGACTGTGACTCATGGAGGGAAAGGAGGCTGCTCCTCATTAACAGGAAGCTGGAAAAAAAGACAGTGGCAAGAGAGAGGCTGAGATGGGGAGCAGGCTGAGGAAGCTTAGCATGGAGGTATTGTGTGATGCTGGCAATTTTGAAATGTTATGTTTAGCAGTGAGTAATGCATAACTGATCTAGTGGGAAATGTAGGGCTAGTTCTTCAGGGAGGTAAGAATGAGAGCTGCAGGTGTCTACACATTCCATATGCTTTCGTGCAGAAGCACGCTGACCAGCTAAATGTGCGCTGTGGGGGAAGGCTGCCTGGGTTCAAATCCTGGCTCTACCAATTACCAGTTACGGGATTTTAGGAAAGTTGCTAAATCTCTCTGTGCCTCAGTTTGCCTCATCTGTAAGATGAGGTTAATAACAGTACCTTCCTTACAGTGTTGTCATAAGCATTAAATGAGAAGTAAAGGATTCAAGAGTATTTTGCTTAAGAGCCAATATGATGTTAGTTATTATTTACCATTAGTTGTCTTTTATGTTGTCCTCGAGGCTTTGAGGATGGAACTGATGGAAGGGCAGGTGATCTTTTATTTTTTTCTGAGACAGGGTCTCACTCTTGTCACCCAGGCTAGAGTGCAGTGGCATGATCTCAGCTCACTGCAACCTCCTCCTGCCAGGCTTGAGCGATCCTCCCAGCTCGCCTCCTGAGTAGCTGGGACCACAGGCACGTGCCACCAGGCCCAGCTTGTAGTTTTGGTAGAGACAGAGTTTTGCCATGTTGCCTAGGCAGGTCTCAAACTCCTGAGCTCAGGTGATCTATCTGCCTCAGCCTCCCAAAGTGCTGGGATTACGGGCATGCGCCACCGTGCCTGGCCAAGAAGGACTGGTGCTCTTTTCTGATGGGGGCAGTGAGAAGGCTCAGGCTAGCGTGTACCCATTTGGACTCAGGGCCTTAAAAACAATTACATTTCAAGTATTTGGAAAAATGTTTGCAACTTCCAACAAGCACGTACCAAGAACCTCTTCCTGGGTTTCAGCATTTAAAGAGCAGCTGGGGTTATGTTGTGTGACTGTCAGCCATCGTGGGAATGAGTGGGACTGAGTGCCTGAACCCGGGGATAGGAAGAAAGGTAGGGACTGGTGACTGGCCTCTAGACAGGGCCTGTAAGGTACCCCGTAAGAGTGCGGTGTGGTGACTTCTGTTAGCCAAAGTCAGCTGTCTCAGTCCAGGTGTGCGGAAGGTGTTTTGCACAAGAATGGGAAGAGTGATAGGGGAGTTTACTTTATTGTCAGCTAGGCCTGAGTTCAAATCAGAGTTTGGCTTCTCACCACTTATGTGACTTTTGGAAGCCACTTAGCTTCTCTGAGCTTTGTAAAATGGGAGGTTTAAGTAAGAGCGTGTTGAAAGAGTCTGGCACATGGTTAGACTGAGAAATGTGAATTCTCTTTTCTCAGTTTCTTCATTTGTAAAATGTGGATAATGCAGAATATTTTGTGAGGCCTTTGTCACAGTTTCAGATAATTTATTCATTCACTAAAATATATTTAGGGTTGACTACACGCCAGAAATCCTGAAAGGCTTGGGGTGTCTCATCAATAAAACAGACACAGATACTGGCCCTTTTGTGGTATAGATTTTAGCAGGGAAAGATAGACAATACACTAACACAAACAAGGACAGCTTCTAGTATGTTAAAACATGATAGGTGCTGTGGGGAAAATAGGATGGGGGCACGGGAGCGCTGAGGGTGGGGTAGCATACAGGATTCTCCAGGATGCCTAAGACAGGCCATCATTGTCAAGGTGGTACTTGAGCAAATATGTGAAGATGATGACAAACTTAGCCAGAATAGCATTTAGGGGAAGAGCATTCCAGACAGAAGAAACAGTGAGTGCAAATGCCGTGGGAGTCAGCCTGGCATATTCTGAGAACGACACGGAGGCCAGTGTGGCTGGAGCAGAGCAAAGAGAGACCAGAAGGAGGTGGAGTCTGGGAAGTAAGCCGGTGCGGGAAGCGGGGGGTGCAGGGCCTTGCTGGCCACTGGGAGGCCGGCTGTGGCTGTTACTCTAAGCGAAGCGAGGGTATATAGCAGGATGCTATGCAGAGAGGAATGACATGCTCTGCCTATTTAAGAGGCTCACAGTGCACATTGGCTACTGTGCTCAGAGTAGACGGTAGAGGGGTAAGGGTAGAAATAGGGAGACCAGTTAGTAGGTTGTTGTGGTGTCCAGATGAGGGATGATGGTGGCTTGGCCCAGGATGGTAGCAGTGGATGGTGACAAGTGAGTCACTCTTTTTATATATCTTGTAGGTGCATTTAATAGCATTCACTGATGATAAGACAGAGGAATACAGTCACTGGAACCAAATGTGAAACTATGACTCATGGAGAAAAAGGAGACTGCCCCCAGTTAACAGGAAACTGGAAAAAAAAAAAAGTGGCAAGAGAGAGGCTGAGATGTGTAAGAGAATAAGAGAAGTACAGAAGTCAAGGACAGCTTGAGCCCCCAGAAGGATAGAACTGCCATCAATTCGGAAGGAGACTGTGAAGCAGGTTTGGGTGGGAAAAGTTGGGAGTTGACATTTGAGCTTGTTGAATTTGAGTTGTATCTTAAATATCCAAGTAGAGAAGGTCATGGAGGCACCTCATTATATGAGCCAGAAATTTGGAAGAAAGATCTGAGTTGAAAGATAAATTTTGGAGCTGACAAGGTATGTGGTGATTCAAGTCACATGATTGGATGAGGTCACCAAGGGAGTGAATAGAGACAGGAGGGAAAAGGACTGGGAATCTTCGGGCCTCCAGCTTAAAGAAGCAAGGCAGCAGTAAAAGGGCCAGCAAAGGAAGTTGAGAAGTGATCCATGAGGTGGAAGGAAAACCAGGAGAGTGTGATGCCGGGGAAGCCAGATGGAGAAGGTGTTTCAAGGGGGCAAGAGGGATCAACGGTGTCAAATAATGCCAGGAGTCAGTTGTATCAGCTATCTATCATTGTGTAACAAATCGCTCCAAAAATTAAATTTATTATCTCAACAAAAATTTATTATCTCACAAAGCTTCCAAGACTCAGGAATCTAGGAGTTGATAAGGTGGGTAGTTCTGACTCAAGGCCTCTTGTAGGTTGAAATTAAGCTGTTAGATGTGGCTGCAGCCATTTCTAAGCTCAACTGGGGCTGGAGAATCCCATTCCAAATTCACTTTTGCAGTTCTTGGCACCCCAGTTCCTAGCCATGTAGGCCATCTGAGTGGCCTCATGACATGGCATCTGGCTACCCCCTGAGCAGGTGACCCAAAAGGAAGATAGGCTGCAGGAGAGCACCCCAGATGGAAGTCACAGTCTTTTGTACCTAACTGTGGAAGTGTCATGCCATCACCTCTGAATGTTCTTGGTTACGCAGACCAACCGTGGTAGTGTGTGGGAGGGACCACACAAAGCTATGTGAAGGCTGGTCATCTTGGAAGGTGGCTACCACATCAAGCATGACAAGAAGTATCGGTCATTGGGTTTAGCAATGTGGAGGGCATTGGTGATCTTAACAAACCAGTGGGGAGAAAAGTTCGATCAAAGTTGGTGTAAGAAGGGATGGAAGGAGAGGACCGAGACAGTGAGTGCAGATGGCTCTTTTGAAGAGTTTGCCACAAGCGGGATCAAAGAAATCAGATGATAGCTGGTGAAGGACGTGGTTTTCCTAAGATGAGAGAAACAACAGTATGTTTGTACATTTATGGAAGTCATCCAACAAGTGAAAAATTGATGACGCAGA